GCCGTTTATTTCGAAAGCGGCATAAGTCACTTTGTTTTTAAGTCGATATATTTAAGGGTTTGCGTTTTAACACGTTTAAAAATATGGATGCTAACTTTCGAGAAGATTTACTTGTACTTGTTATCTCGGGATACTGATATTTTTCCCGGTATAAATAATTTCGTATAAACATTAAAAAATCACCACTTTTCATTACGGTAAAGTGACTTATTCCACTTTCAAAATAAACGGCTCATTTGTCACGATGTAAAAACTAGTAATAGAATGCTACGCAACGTAAAGATCGTATCTTAACTAGCATCTCGAGACTGGAAACTCGCTAGAATTAACTTATTAGCGTCGCAGCGGTTCTATAGCGGTGGTATGCGAGTCGGGCCACTTCTTATTCTTACACCGTGATAAAGACTTTCGGCCGAGTCTCCACCCCCGCACGACCGACACGAGCATCGCGCAGGTGGACGATGTTATTTTGGCAGCGATCCCGAGGAGCGGGCTCTTCGCTCCGTTATTTTCTTCGTTAATCGAACCGGAAGGACCGCACCGGGTAATTACGGCGACGGGTCGCGACCGAGTTCCCGTGTTAATGGACCCGCGAGATGGAATCGTTGCGGATAAGTCGTCTAGTTTATTGTGCGTCGCTTGATTGAACAAATTCCAACAAGCAATACTTTATATTTCGATGAACTATAATATGATCGTAGTCTGTGGTCTTTATCCATGCGCAAACAATTCAGAAAAATAAAAAGAATAGTCCTAGAATGTACGTTGCTAAGGACACGATTTATAGTAATTTCTCTCGTATTGTCCCTCGACTTGGGAACGAAGCTGGACAACTTGAGAAGGGGAGATGCGAATATTCGAGAAACGTGGCTCGCTTTTATATTTGTCAATTGTCAACAATTATAAGAACGAGTCGCGATAATTCAGGACAAAGGGTTAATAATAAAATGAAATGATCGCACGGAAGAAGTTCGCGAGGGTTTAGAAAAATATTGTAACCTGTTTTTGACATACTAAACGTATCGACAATCAGTAATTCCTAGCAAAAAATGTCTTCCCAATAAAAGGTTAGTGAATACACAGTTTCTACAAAAATTACGACAGCAATCATTAACGGAAGACTTTTTTATCCAGCGAAAAATCAAGATCACCTGAATCTTCCTTAACAGAACTGTCCTCCCTTAACACAACCGTATTCCCTTCAAAAAAATTAACACATATAGGTCAAGAATCGATTAGTGTAGAAGTTCCGATTTTTGTCCCGAAACGCGGAATCGCTCGACGCGACGAGCCGAAAAATATTCCTCCGGAACGAGTTGTAAACGTTGCTCGATGCAACGCGATTACAGCGTAGGGGCGGGGAGGGGAAGAGGTGGAAAGAATTCCCGGGTCCGAGCCTGATCGAAGCGAATTAACCGTGCGCATCGCGTTTATTAATCGGATAAGAAGCAGCCGGGATTTTTTGTATCGGCAATCGAGGAGTCGTCGTCGAGGGTCGGTGGATGCGCGATGGTTACGGGGCACCATGGGATGGGAACAATTCGTTTTCATCAGGCCGTAGCGGGGCGGATTTACGCCGGAAATACCGGGAAATAATGCGTTACCTTGATTTCTTTGTTCGGTGCACCTTCGGCCGCGCTCCTGCGTGCATTGTGCGGGCCTAGATCGATACTTGTTCGTTCCACGCATGTAAACAGCCGGGCCTTGTTTCGCAACGGGCCGACAGCCGTTTTGTTAGGCTCGTTGCCGGAACTTTTGTCGTAAACTATACGCTTTATGCGCGGATAGAGAGAAAGCGCGGCACGCATCTGCACGGGACGATTAGGCGGCGCGCGGAGAAACGCGGGGGTGTACGCGACGGGAGAGGACAGAGAGACAGAAAGAGCGAGCGAGAGAGAGAGAGAGAGTGAGAGGAATAGAGAGTGAGGGGTGGGAGGGAGGAGGGTACGCGAATCGAGCATCGGGATCAGAGGGAAAAAGAGGGTGGAAACGCGACAGAGGGAACGAGACCGAGCCGGAACGAAACGGATCGGAACGGGACACGCGCGCCAGAAAGAGGGAGAAACGGAAAGAGGAAACGGAGGGTGTGCCGGGGGGTTGGTTTCAATTAGGAGGCAGTAACTCTCCCAGGGCATTGTTCATTTCACTCTAGATTTGTATTCCCCCGTTTGTTTGTTCCCTTTCGCATTTGCGTTAACCTGAGCAAAAGCGAGCCGCCATGCGTGCACACGCAATCAGCTCGAGCGGAAAAGACGCGCCGGGGACCAGAAAGGGACCGATCCTCCTCCCGACAGAATCCTCCAACAGAATCCGCCGACGGTGTCCTCCAAGATATTGTCGCTTAAATTTCTTAATGCTTCGCGTTGATAGCGTTCCAAATCGCGTAATTCTTTCGAGTCTATAGAATTTCGTTTCACGATGCATTCTCTGATGAACGCGTAAATCCTGTGTGCTACGGTTCAATCGACGCATCGACTTGGTATCTTTTGAAATTGTGTTTTTTTCTTGTCGCAGAATTTCTTTCCGCAGAATCAAGCTCGACGATGCGATATTTAAAAAGCTACATGCACGCGTCGCGCGCGCGCGCTCTCTTCGAAACAGTAGGCCTTCGAAACAGGAGCCCTAAATCGCAGGCCTCACGAGCACGCTTGCCGCGCGATAATGTCGCGACGTATGCAGCAATTATTGCAGCGAAGCGCGACAAAAGGTCAGACGCGGGTAATTTAATTAAGATCGGACGGGGACGGTGATCGAGGAGGACATTTTCGAGCGATTAGCCTAGATTCGCGACTGCGGCAGTTTATTAACGAGCTCTCAGAAACGGCGGCTACCTGCGAATCGGCTCGGCGAGTGTGTGCTCGTTCATCCATAGAGCTCGCGGGGCAAACTAATATAGAGACTTATACGGTATTTTATGCGTTTAGAGTAGACGCGTCGGGCTTGAATGTTTCGCCGCGAGGGCTGCGAGCCTCGTAACGAAATTCCCCGGCCAACTTCGTCCCTGTGCCTTCCTCTCTCTCTCTCTCTCTCTCTCACACGCACTCTCTTGCTCTTTCTGTCGTTCAACTCGTAAGAAGTTTCGTTCGGCGGCCGTATGCTGAAATAAACGGAATTTCGACCGACGATCGTTAGTCCGCGGACCGTATTTCTCGACGATGCGATGGAGTAAGCGCGGACGACGCGTCGTCGCCGCCAAGATTTATCGAACGTTATAAATGCGCATACCTCGGGCGAGAACAGAGTCAGAGTCAGAGGGAGAGAGAGTCAGGAAGAAAGGGAGAGACGGATAGAGAGAGAGAGAGAGAGAGGGAGAGAGAGAAAATGTAGAATAGTCGAAGAGAGACGGGTAGAAGAAAAAGCGAAGCAGAGAAGCTGGAATCGAGGCGCGTTAGAAACGAGAAGTATCGATTGCCCGATGCGAAACAGTCGGCCGTGCAATCGGAATTTGTTATGCGAGACGTCAACGTATGCAGTTTGGCTGGCACATCCTGACGTAAATCGATCCCGCCTATATTATCACCGATGACGTGCGCGCTCCTACGTATCTGGAAACGAGGCTGCTCGTTCGACCGGCCCAGAGGATAAAAACATTGTCAGGTAACCATTGTCTAACCCATCGACGAACGAATCCGGCGCGGGCTCTGACCCAGTTCTTCGAAAATTCTTTATCTTGAAACGGTGGCCCTCGTTTCGAGTTGCAATACCCGGTCGGTCGGTCGGTCGGCACCAATCGTCGGAACCGATCGCTGAGACCTATAGAGGGGTCAAAGGACAGAACGATGGCCGCCTAGAGAAGCGGCAAGCTCCGCAGAAAAATGGCAACTTTGATAGAGGAACAGGGTGAATGCGGGTCTAGGTACAGAAAGGGCGAGAGCGTTTCACGGGCGAAGCGATTCGGCCTTGAACGGAGGCTCGTGGAAGCCGAGATGATCCTTTCCGGTGGTGGTCTCCGCTCGGTCAGGACCCCAACCCCAGAACGGTTGGTTCCTCCTCCTTTTTCCCATCGAAACGCGAAGTTATCAAGGCTAATTTTTCGCCTTTGTCGCAGAGTCCTCGGTGGCCACCAGTCGGTTCGTTACTCGTGTTTAGCCGGCACTGTTTTTAATAAGCTAATGGCTCTTACGCGGTACATTATGTCGGCGGCGTCCCCTCCCCCATCCCCCATCGACGCAGAGAACCACCACCCTATGTCTCCCTGGGTTTTTTTTTGTTTTTCTCCTTTTCTCCTGACTCGCGCTCTTTTATTTCCTATTTTTCGTTGAAACGACAAAAATATCCGGCCTTCTCCCCCTCCCCACGTTTGCCTGCCTGCCTGCTTGCTTGCTTGCTTGCTTGCTTGCTCGCGGCATGCTAAACTTTTGTCTGAGCAAAAGGGTGAAAGGAACGTGTGGACGCGGGGGGCGGGAGGCCGGGACAAGATGGAAAGGGAGGACGGCCGACTGAGTGCTTTTCCTCGAGCAGAACAAAAATCTTCCCGCCGTCCCTGCCGCCTCTCTCTCTCTCTCTCTCTCTCTCTCTCTCTCTCTCTCTCTCTCTCTCCGCTCTCT